TTCATCTTCAGGGTAGAAGAAGATGGAGGTAACAGGTTCCTCTGAAATGTTGGTTGATTTTCAGTGGGCTATAGGGCATTACATCCCTGGTGATAGATCCATCACTGTGAGAACCCCAAATCCTACATAAGGCTGTTGACAGAAAATAATCCTAAAGGATACATAATGCTTAAATCCTTAAAAGCTGTTTACCTTATAATTTTTGTGCACTTCGGTGTATTCTTTGTTAATTCCTGATTGCTTCTGGGATGCTCTCGTAGGTAACAGGAGAAAGAAATTGAAGAGTGTCAGGTCACCACTGGACAGGAATTCACCAGAGAAACCTGTTATTAAGAAATGCACGCAGAACAAAACATGGTGATACTTCATCCTGTTGAAACCATGTTGTGCCATTTCTGTATTGAAACATTGCCCAGGAAGTTCTGTAGCATATACAGATACAATTTGCCTGTGATATAGCTAAAAGGATTGGAATCAGTTGTTTCATCAGCCCACATGCTGACCCATGTTATTACTGTGGAACTATAAATTGTGGTATGCAACTTATTGCCCACTCTGTTAGATTGTGAGGAATCTTTTAATATATGTTGCTGTAGTTTGCATATATCAAAACAGTGGAATGGAGGTCTTCCCTAACCTGTTTGCTTCACAACATCTTTAGGTAAACAAATACAATGAACAGTTTAAAGTTAATCTTACTGTAATTATTTTTTATACACTTCAGTTTTAAAAATCAACAGAATTCCACTTTGCTTTTTTCTTACCTCTCCCCCTCTGTTTCTCTTCTTCCCCCCATCATGAACCTGGTGATAATTCTACTGCACTGGGCATTGCTGAATTGTAGCTGTCATTTTCTGCTGTGTGAATGTTGAACTCTGATATTTAGAAGACCAGAATTGTGCAAATTATACTCACATTATTACTGTAGAATACTGTAACTGTGTTATCTGAGAGTTTATGCTTCTAAATATCATTGTAATTAGACTTCATTCTTGGTTGTGAGTCGGGAGCATTTCACCTTATACAGTGAAACATCCAGCCATTCCATGATTACCACCACACAACCATTCAGTCATTTTGAATTGTATTTCACTACTTGACTTTGAATAATAGTTGATCTTACATTGAATAATTCATTAGAAGATGAGAAGTATATTATTACACCACTAACTGAGGAGTTGAATCATGGACCATGCTAATATGAGAAAGATAAGTGGCATAATCAGCGAGGCAGGAAAGAATGGTTTTGTTTTGTCACAAAATCAGTTTTGTTTAATATCTTATATTAACAATGAAAGTATTTTTCCCTGTCTTTGTATCAAGTAAGTTACAGTACATAATGCTGTTTAGTCATCCAGTAGGTTCTGACCTCAAAATGGTTGAATATTTGGAATTGATATGAGACGGTGATATGTAAGGGTTTAAAAATGTGTGCTTATTAATATGTAAATCTCTTTTTTTTTTTACAAAACTTGCGCTAATTTACAATGTACATATTATGTTTTTATATACAGATATTTATTAAGTAGAGTTGGGTCATCTACTGTTAGTGTCTGCAATTATCAATAAATCCGTAAATTATATAACTCAGCATAATACTTTTTACTCCAGATATTCCTTTGAAATTAAATCATTTACAGATCTTCCAGAATTGTTTCATTCTCCTTGTTCATATAATGCATTCAGATGCAGTTACTTTGTTGTAGTATGTAGGGTGAAAGATGTACATTCATCCTCTCTAGATTCTAAAGGGTCCTGATGATGGAGTATAGCACTGGGATTACTGGGTTTTTGGACGTTGTCCATTGTCAGATATTCTAAAGAACATGATGTTTCGGAAACTATGTTTCCGTTCTCAGGTGAGGGAGTGGGAAACACGTACACTGTTGGGTATAATAGAAAAAGTTAACCTCAATCACCCGACCATATACACTCACGCTGTCTACATTCTGTGTAATGAAAGTAATATTGACTGCATATGGACCAAAATTTTACTTATTTTGTCCAAGCATGTGCTAGAAGTTAAACTTCTGGAGAGCAAAGAATGACCAGAATTCACATTTGATTGGTTTTCCTAGTTCAAAAGTGGAGTGACATTAATGATGCTGAGTATTAACAACACCCATCCTAGGAAAAGAATAAAAATTTGATGTGATTTAAGGAACTTGTTCAATCTACAACATGACCGATGAGGCTGGAAGTTCAGTTGGTTCATGGCAAAGTGCTATCAATACAAGATTTTAACATGTAATGTACTGCCACACAATTTGTACCTTTTGTTTCTTACTTATGTTCAAAAGTAAAATCATTTCAGTGTGTGCTACTGCCTACAGAAATAGCAGTAGATGGACCCTCAATTCCTGTTGTTACTTTTTATGCACATGTAAATCATAAAAACAAGTGCATGCACTTTCTCCTGTACACTTGATGAATCACAGCCTGCTAATGTGTTACTGAAATTAACTATCAATACTACAAACTAGCAAAATTTGATCAAAATCAGAATAGCCATTTTTTTTAAAAAGAATTGATGACTCAGCTCCAGTAATGGGCGCCTTGTTCAAATTGCCTTACATTTAGGATGCTTTGGCCCACAAATCATTATTTGGATCAACTACCCCTACAGGTGATTAAAATTAATGACATTCATTTGGTCATGCTGTTTAAAAGAATTCTCATTTGGGCTGCTAGAAGGCATAATATTATATACCTTACCAAGTTTGCAGCTTTATTTAGGGGTATGGTGTGCATAACTTATTGAAATCTGAACAAAGCCAGACCCTTATGAACATAAAATATAACACATTAAATATCTAATGAACAGAGTGCACACATGCCCAGTAACAAAAGATGCAAAGGAAAATGAACTAAACATCATAAATGACACACTACATAATAATGAATATGATATAAACCTAGGCACGAGGCACCCCAAACTAACACAAACATAGCAAAAAAACTGATCCAAAACACCAGAAAACCAGTTGGGTCACTTTCACATACAGTGCTAAAGAAAAAAATTACAAAATTCTTTAAAGGAGTGCACATGAAAGTAGCCTTCTGAACTCAAAACACAATACAAAACAGTAAAACCCCACCCACAAATAGACAGATTAGAGAAAATTGGAATTTATCAAATGAAATGCATGGATTATCCACTAAAATACATAGGACAAAATGGTCAAACATTTTACCAGATATAAATAACATATGGAAGATTGGTAATAATAATGGTAATTCAGGGTATTCGAACCATACACTGAGCACAGGGTGCACATGGGACTATTAACTGGTACAATGACCATCAGGAAAAAGAAAATGGAAAACACTTTTTTTTTTGTTTCATCCTGGTCTGTCACACTAACAGTATTATAAAAGGTTAATTAATTGTGTCCAGTGTGACTGGATGCCCTAATTAATCCTGATACAAATGAACACAAGACATACTCTGGAAATTCTGCTGGAATTCAATGGATGGAAGAGCAGTAGTCTACTGCACAAAAGCATCTGTGGGATGTTGGTTCCTGTACTCGGAGAGACAAACACATAAATTTCTATAATATATATTTACGAGTGTTAGTGTTGAGAAGAGCATTCAGATGACCAAGAAAGCAGGGTGTGCTGTAACTGACGAGGTATTGGGGAGCCTTGAGAAGGGCCGTAACTCGAAGACAGTGTGTGCCTGATAAATGCTGACGAAGCTCTGGCAGTGGACTTCCCACTGGGTCTAGGCAACCACTCTTAAAGTCGGCTGATGGGGTTGCTGCTAGGAGACTCACTGTTACCATGTGCACTCTAGATGAGCTGCCTTGAGGTAAGATTAGCTCTGACTGACTGACTTGCTAAGGGCAAAGTCAGACTGCAACCGATGGTCAGTCAGTCGTGTCTTTGTGTCAAGCCCCATCTAGGGTACAGGACCAGATATTAGTTCCTGACTGACTAGCATGATGTGTTTAGCATCTTTATTTGCTGTTGCTAGCAGTGCCCGGCCTAATAGACATAGGCACTGCTGTGGTCAGCACTGATTGGCTAGTGCAGCTTCACCCTGCTGGTTGACCACAAGTTGGTAGCTGGCCTGGAGTTATGTTTTAGGCTCCCACAAACTTGTAAACTTCAGTAATTTCAGATTTATAACATTCATTATAACTCTGCAATTGTTATTGAATTCAGTATTACTCTTGTTAACAAGAGTGTATATATTGAGGTTCATCATTATATTTCAGTAATTAATAATAACTGAAAAACTATGCTCTGTATAACTTTCAACTGTCAGTTGTGAACAAAAGTTACAAAATTGAATACAGATATTTCTGATAAGAACAGACATTTCATTCAAACATACCCAACTTCAGCTTTCCTAAACACTTATCAAGGTTTTCCGTGGTTTTCCTTGGTCCCAGAGCAAATGCTGAGTTGGTACCCAAATTCCACGTTGCATTGCATGCTTCACATGCAGCCCCCCCCCCCCAATAGTAACATCATGAAACTTATTATACTATAACTACACAAGAATGACATGTCTTATATCATGTATAATGATCCATGGACACGAAATAAATGAAATGAAATATAAGTCTTGTATGAATGATACAGTTCATAGTGGTCCATTGCATGTCAGTAAGGGGATTTTGGATTGATGTAAATGAAAAATAGTCATACTTAACAAGCACTGCTGAGAAACTTTCGCCTGATAGATATGAGTGAAGTGATATTAGTTAAAAGCCTTTCTACAAATGGAACAAGAACCCCTACAGTACATGAGATCAGGGTGGGAAAATTATTCATTGCTGTTTGGTGAACACTGGGATACCTTAGTTAGTGTCAAAGTAAGGATAGTAGTTTAGCTTCCTACTGACTGAATTTTCGGCAATGTTTGCAACCATTTTGCAGCAACGTTTCGCACAAGGAAAGCAGATGGCAGTAGCATGCAATTCTGACCGATTCGACTGTGTTTCTGAACTTTGTGACCGTTTGTGACGTTCTCAAGCAATAGCATTGAGATTCACGTATGTGACAAACTTGTCTGTGGCCACGGTAATGTAAAAAGTTGGTGTATCGGATCCGTGATCGGTAGAATGGACTTGGTGGTATTAGTCATCTGATCATGGCTAATGGTCAATGAGTTCAGTTACTTGTGCGATATGTTGTAATGTATAGTGCTGTAGGTAATAGCCTTAAGTGATATTATAATTTATACACAAAAAGATGGGACTGTTTTCAACGTCATCTCCTTTCGATTCTGACGTTGGTAAGTTTCCAAGAGTTTTGGTTTACGTCATCAGTAAATCGTTTTGAAATTTCAGAATTATAATTTCGAAACTAGAATTTACTGTTCCGTTATAATTCTGTGCTGGAAATGCAATAGAAGGTCTTGTGGTATGAATGTATTCCTGCGTAACATCATAGTCATTCCATTAATCCTATTGAAACTGACCCATCTAGTTGTTATCTAAGAAGGGCTTTTGATTTGTTTTGGAGTGACTTGGGCTGGAAACAAGTTGTTAAGTGTGTTTAGTGTTTAACGAGGCAATGAAAATGAATTACCTTTTCAGATTTTGGTTTGAGAGTAAGGTAATAACGAGAGATAGTAACCTACTGTCAATATTAGGTGGCATTTATTTCTTGAAATTTAGTGAAATGTTAGGTTATGAAATGATTGTGCATGATTAGGGCCCGGATTTTTATGACCTAAAAACTATAAATATATGCATGCACTTATGACCCAAAATTATGTCAAATATGACCTAAAAAGTGTAAAATATGACCTTAAATATTAAATGGGACATAAAATTTCACAATTTTAATTACAACTTTTACTAGAGTTTAAGAATAAAGATGATGAATATATGATAGTAGGTCCTACTTACCAAATTAGCCCTATTATGTCTCTGAAGGAAAGAAAACTGATGGAATTTCGACATTTCGTACTGGATTAAACCATTCATTGTTTTCTTTTTAATACTGATATTTGCGTTCATATTTTAGACAAACACTGGTGCACATGG